ATACATGAGGGAAATCAGGCGTTCAGTACATTGCGGATTCACTACGGCTAAACAAGCTGCACGGCGATATGCCGAAGAAGTTTACTTTCAAAGTGTATTAAATCAGTATATGGCTGACAATCTGACTGAGCCTGTGGTAAATTATGATTCATCCAAGGAAATCATCACTTGCGGAAACTCAAAGTTATCTACTACAAGGCCAGACAATGTAGTAATCGCCAATGGTCAACCAGGGTTCGTCACACAAATAGCTGATGGAGGCCGAATTAAGTTTCAGGTATTCCATAACCATTATATACTGACCCTTTTCCCTCCGGTACTATCGGTGCATATATATCGCGTCGTTGTGGTAAGTTTTAAACACGTTAAGTTCACGATTTTTAGATGATAACATTTATCCGAGGAAATGAAAGTCTGTTTAACCGCAGTACTCGGTTGCAATAATAAAATTACAGTAGATGATGAAACGCTACCGTGTGAAGCGGAGAAGCCGGAAAGATAAGTTGTTCAACTCACTAAATCACTTTTTTAGGGCTGTTAAACGAAAATTTAACGACTATCTATGCAACTTTGAAGAACTAGATGTTGCTGAGGTTGAAGCTGGATTCGCCTTGGTCGACTTTCCGGTTGTCAACATTTCGACAGGAAACTTTTCACTTATAGCGAAGCAGGTACCTATTTGATCAATGCTCATAAAGTAGTTCATCGAAAATAGAGGTTTTCTCACCAATGCTTCCATGTACATCAACGGAAGTTAATAAACCGTAAGTTGGACTCAATGTTAACATGATAAGAAAAGGTTGTGCAGTGATGACAGTAAAACCCTGAAAATGATTCTGAAAGCAGTCACTGAAGTGTCTGACAAGATAAATAAACTGATCACTTTCAATGAACGCTCATCCATGGGTGTAATGGACAGGCGTACCGACCAAGTAGACAATTGAACTATTGCTTTCCCATTAAGAACACATGAGGAGTTGCGTTCTTTTGAAATTGCTTTATATGAGTTAAAGATCCGTGGTCAGTTCGTAAGTTGTAACAGGTGTTTGAATAAATTTTAAGTGACCAGATTGTACGAGCTCGTATGTGATGACCCTCGTATATCTGCAAAAGCCTGTCTAAGTTATCTGTTGTCGCCGGAACTGGCGAACACGTACACTTTACACGGAACGAAAAGTAAATCTGGTATTAGTAAGTACAAATTTTTACCGGACGATTCAAAGCAAGTCCACACTAAAGTATTAATATATTTGTAGGTGTTCTGTGTTCCCGATTCCGAAGTGCAACCTGTCTCAAAAAAGAAGTAGTACACGCCATGGATTTTGCAGGCTAGGCTTTCTTGCATGACGCGAGAGATAAAGTAAATAAGAGTGGATGGCGATCCAAAGAAAGGGTGAGCTAAAAGCACTCTACATGTTTGATTGAATACATATTTCAGTTATAATATTAATTTGTGATCAATTTTTATACTTAAACAACTTTTTTCTTGTCAGTAAAAAAATATTTCTTGTCCATATTGCTTCCAGATGGCTTCGCAATTTTTGACAGACGTAACTGTAAGTTTTTTGTTCGCATTATTAACAGCATTGTTACACCGTTGGTACGTCATTGACGTGAATGATAGTTCGACGTCTACGTAACGTGCTTACATTACAAAGCAATAGAGAAAACATGTATAAATCAATGATTTGTAACTTTATAAACCGTAATAAAAATTTCAATGTGTCACGAATCAGTCTTTTAATTACAGCGATAGATCGGTTAACGTTAAGTTTCTTTGGCGCTGCGTTCTCTGCATAATGGACTTAAAATAATGGAATATCGCAGTAAAAACTATAGGTACTCATTCTCGCCTGGCTTTTCTGTATATCTGTAAAAATCTGTTGAAAAGTATTGCGTTCAAACAAATTTGCAAAAACTGTAATAAGATGATGGTGCTCTTTTGGGGATAAGCGCAAAAATCAGTGGAAATTTTCGGGGAAAAACGCAAAATTTCCTGAAAATTGTGAAAAATGTTGGGGTTTTATTCATAAATATAAGCCGATTCCCCCAAAGTGTAGTAAGATTCTGCGGAAATTTCGGAAGAACAGTGGAAAATTTCTGGAGTTTGATACGATCTGTAGTGAAGCCTGTAGAATGGTCGATTTCCAAATGACAATACCTCGAAAACAATAGTTGTGATTGCACCAGAATTGAAAGATTACTCATGAGAAATGATTTTAGGAGACGTTTTAGGATTTTAAAATTTTTACAGATCACTGAGTTGTGAAAATTAAGTAATGCATGAAAGCTGGAATGCACTCAACCGACCCCACTTTTAACAAAGCCACTCAAGGTCTTTGAGACAGAATTGACCTAGGCGTAGTTTTTCATCCGTCTCGTTGTAACGGGATTAAAATCATCATGTATGATGCTGTGAATAGATTTCGTTTTCTTTCTATTGCAGGGCAAGCAAGAATAAACGCTTTAGAAGAAGGAGAGCAAGCCCTGCACGCACTAAACTTACAGGACGACTCATAAGACCATTTTGTAAACTAGCTCTCTTTCTGTACAGAACCCGTGAATTTTAATTTTAAAATAAACGTCTATTGGCCTCCATTCCTCGTTCTCTCTGTGGTGTAAAGTGTTCAGTTAACATTGTGTGTGTTGTGGCTTTAGGTCTTCCCGTCTTCCAGTGACTGCTGATTACACGTGTAACACGTACGTGTTACATCGTAATTTTTCACTTTTATCACTAATCGTTTTGTATTAACTTCGTCTATTAAATGTTAGTGCATTTCTTGCGTTCACTAAGTTACAGACCAACATTGGCCAGACTGTAATTTATAGACGAACAAATTAGATATAAGATAACAAGTCACGAACTCCGGCGCGAAGTTCATCCATACATTTATCTAATTAGAGTTTTGCCATCATAGCTCATGTAACTTCAGCGTCGCTTAAGGGTCGTTCATAAATTGTAGTCACACCTCAATATTTTTTATTATCAATCGCTCTTGCAGCTTTCCTCACGCACGCTACCATAGCACCTACATCAATGTAGGTGATTACATTCAATCTATACCTTTATTTGTTTCTCTGCTTGGTACTCTCTTGTACTCAACGTCTTGCAAGGCGTAGTGTGTAGTTCATAAGGAAAGGTCTCCATGTTATTGGATACTAGTTGTGATCACAGTAGAGCAGGAACAACATTCGAATGTTCACAAAACATGTGATTTGTTGTTTTCCCGACCGTTATAAATTTTAGTCACTTGTACAAAATTTGCGTAGTGTCGGTAAACGACAATCTATCGCACAGAAAAAGGACTGTATTAGTCAATACAGTTAGAACCGATTGGGTTGGGATATCACTTAGTAGCTACTGATAAAGTGCTCCAATTCTAGGGATTGATTTTCCGTTGATCTCTTCCTTCAAAATATACTGTGATCAGTCAGTGGTCTGCTAATTTCTATCATGCCAAAAATGTCATATTGCACCTATCGATTTCCAGTTGGGAGTGGGATTATGCGTTTGACCCACATCTATTCCAGCGGTGTTGTCAACAAGCCACTCCAATTATGCGAAATACATTATCCTATGCGGTCTTCCCTGATGTATGAGTCAATTGAGGTTGTACAAAACTTTCGGCAAACAAGGTCCGTGTAAATCCTTCCATAAAATGTTTTGAAGAGTTTTATGTTGATGGGTCAGTCATAGTGTAGTGCATGCAGTACTCTAATTTGTACCATAAAAATATAGCTAATTATGAAAATTTATGTAACTGGTATTTATTAAACTATAAATGTTGCTAATACAGTGACTTTAAAGTGTAAAATGAGTTGCTAAATAGATGTACATTCAATCACACATTACAGCTTAGGTCATGCCATCGATTGTAGCTTCAATATGATTCTAAACCCAAATGCCCTGATTCGGCCAAGAGTGGGGAGATGAAGCTCTTAAAATGCTCTCACATGGCCACGTGCATACAACCACTTCCAGGGAAGTCATATTCACTGTCTTCCCACAACAGGGGTGTTATTTACGAAGTTGAGAGGACAAAAAGCGAATTTCTGGTGCTTCAACCGGGCTGGTGGATATGTAGGATCCACCTAAGGGAATCGGAAAACCCTGATTCTAAACGAATGGTGCACATAGGCTCCAGGGTCGTGAGGGAACGATTGGCGTATGACTGACTGACAATTGTCGGCCACCGGCTACCATGGGACTTCATCTCCTTACGTTGCTGCGCTTCCTTGTGCATTAGACCTGTAAGTCAGAAGCCCGGAGTGTAGTCCCCTAAGAAAACTGCCTGCTTCGGTTTGGGCACCAGGGCAGTATCCCAGCCCTCACATAAACCGAATAATTCATGTCTAAATAAGTAAATGATTTTAACGGATACTCCATGTCTGTAGTAATTCTGCTCTGTCGAGGGTTCTATGGGAAGCTGGAAACGTGATCTGGACAAGTCATTTCCAGCGGCTCTTGTTTTGGGTAAGAGTTGAGGTAATACGTAGCCAACTCTATAAAATTGAAGAAAAAACAGTATTGCCTTAGACTGAGTTATCTTCTGGGTTCAGCAATCAAACTTCAAGGTGGCGAATCTATCAATATCAAATCTTTTTGGTTCTCCAAGATAAGATGTTTTAACTGCATTTAACCAAAAAGTGTTGACCCACTACTTACATTCAGCAACACTGGTCTGGACTCGTTTACCAGTAAGCATCTTCGTCGTATTGCACTTTTTGTTTCTGCTATTAATACTTCACAATGCTAACCTTGTTTTGGGGCGCTAGGCATCTATACGTTTGACAGTAATAAGATATGTTTGACCTTATTTACAATACTCATTAGGTTATTAAAATTATCGGATGTATCAGCGCTAAACTTGGGTTTTTAGTGTGAACACTGTTGGCCGTCTTGGGTGCTTAACTTGGCTGCGAATTAATAAGGATCTCTATTTATTTCGATTTAAAACTCCCATCCAAAATTTAATAGGTGGATATCTCTTCTTATTCCAGATACACCGCCAACTTATTTTCGATATTTCACTTTATCAAAATGGCAGTCCCAGAACAATATAGTTCCAAACAGTTCGAGCGAAAGAAAATAAATTTCAAAGGTATCAAACAGGTCTTAAACGCGGAATCTCAAGTAAGATTTATATTTAGCACTTCTAATTCTAGTTAGTAATTTGCGTTTCCTATCGTATATAAAAATACCCAGCACTAAATAATCTCTGCTTCTCATGGGAGATATATGGATTTAAAATAACAAAACCATTCGATCGACTTAGCATGATGAAATATTAAGTGATCACACACCAACTTGTAAACGTCAAATGAAAGGTCAGACTAGCAGACGGAACAAAAAGGAATGCACGGCACGCCACTCTAGATGCTACATTGAAGCCTATATTACCAGGGTATGTTTAGCGCAAGTATCAACTACTCTTAAACACGATTAAATTTTTCTTAGTTTGACTTTCCAACAAACCCAAGCACCACCCCAGATCACTTCGGCATAAAATTAGAGAGGTTAAATCTAAGCTAATTCTTTTACCTATCTCAACCAAACGCTTATCAATAAAAGATCAATGTTTGTCAGTTTTAATAAGTTGTAACTATATCAGCTCTCCGTAGTACTGGATTGTTTTTCTCACATAAAATAGTATGATCAGTACTTAAAATCTACTTTATTACGCACCATAAAGCTGATAAGCTTATTGTTGTTGCACTGGACTATTCTTTCGCTCAAACACTAATATCTCTGATGTCGGAATCAAGAATTGTTTCCTGTCGAAATTAACTGGATTTATGGCCAACGATAGCACTGAAACTAGGTACTTCTGCTGTCTGCAGGTATTGTAAAAGTCAAATTTATTAACCATCCGATTGTATTGTAGCCACGTATTGCTTTTTAATTATCAAGAAATGCATTTCAAGCAGGTTAAATTCTTGTCGTGTAACATCTCCGCACACGCGAACATTGTATAAGTAGTCTAGCTAATTTATCTAGATTCATGAGTTTGTAACTAGATTAGATTGATAAATCAACCGAGTCAAGTGCTCACATGGTGGGTTGTCCTTTGGAATATCGTTTCAAATTAGTTATTAAATCCACACAGAACTTTCGCTTATCTGTTGGTCATATGTAACACTCAACAGTTGCATCAATTTATACATAAATCCATCCAGTTCATTTTCATCTGAAAACCATCATGTAGTGGAACTAAGCTTCTATTCGTTGCGCAAAAAGCATCAAAACCAAGTTGGAGAAGTCTATGTTATGAAGTATCTAGTAACATAGTTAATCTATCTAATCTTGAATGTAACGTCGCAAATTCTCGTTTGTATTGTTGAGTTAGCGTAACATAAAATATGGCAATTTATTGACACATAAACGACGCTAATTTTAGGATGTTCCTGTTGATTAACTATGAAATTACGGGCATGAGAGGATTTCTCTCTACTGCGCTATATGACGATTCAATAAATCAGTGTAATTAAATAAATAAGTACGTTCTAGTATACCAAATCCGTGTGCACTCATGTTTTGAGGGCTAGTTTTTGTACCTGTTTGCTCCTGTGTAAGTAAAATAACTTTCAGACTAAGCAACTATTATGAAATTACCAGCAAGTGTCCGTCAACCTCTGGTTCTACTGCAATTAATCTCTGACCGACATAGTGATGTGAAGCAAACACTGGCAAAATCCAGTTTCCTGTGACAGCTTTAAGAGTACCGTGATGCTTCGCATTTGCTAAGTAAGACTATTGGCTTATAACACGCGTGCCTACCCGACCAATGTAAACTCGATTGAACATACTATATGCATCGACCCCGATTTATTGTTTGTTGCGGTAACTCCCATTGAAAATTTTCCTCCCGATTATTCATTTCTGTTGTTACAGAGAACATATACTCTATCGGTTAATACAATCTGGAACGAAAGCTTGTTAAAACATTGCTACGTAAGGCGATCCACCGGTGGTTTGGGTATTCAACTACTCATTATTAGGTCATGAATTCATAGTGATTCTGTTTTGGGCGGTATGTAGATTACCGTTCATCCATACAATCGCCGAAACTCACTTTCTAATAAGTAAACTCACATGCTATTAAATCTATTACTTTCTAGACTAATATTCATTTGTTTTCAACTGCAGGTTAGCTATTCACCAGATGCTGTTCTTTACAATCATCTAAATGCACCACCATGCATTTGTCCACCTATGAAAGTTTCTGATTTAAGTGGGATACCAACCGCTTATACAGATCCATTGACAAAACTAAATTATGCAACTTGTTCCGAGTTTAAAAGAATACGTTATTTGCCTCAGCATATCGTTAATGGGTACCTGGCTTTGAGAGGAATGTCTAATATTTGATAACAACAATGCACTATTAATTTTTAATTTGGACAGTATCTATTTTTTGTCTGTTTATGATATTGTTCATTCAATTGCAATAGACGCTCCAACCTCTTCCAATACTTTCTTTATTTGCTCAGCTTCGTCCTTGCTCACGTCAGTCTTTATATTGGCAGGTGCACTCTAAAAGAAATAATTAAGGTTATTAATTTTTTCAAGCTAGCAGTGTGTAAATATAACACGCTATTGAGTGTATTTAGAAAAGCGGATTAGCTGCATTAATATTAAAAAACTAGGTGGGTGGGTACTTTCAAATCTAGAGTGGTTGTCTAGTGCATCCAACTGTTACTAGTTTTTTTATCAATAGCAATACTTGACAAAATATAAATGTGCGCTTTTTTACAGAATAAAGTAACTAAATAAAAGTGCCTAGTCGAATGACAAGGTAGTCGAGGCATGTGCTACGCATGCCTAGTTACATCATCTCTGCGCGATTCACTAGCTATCACCCATGTATCGGGGACTGTAGATGATATGATTAAAAGTTGGCTACACATACATTCACTATAACTATATGCAAGCCCTAAACAACATTCCAAGCCGCTCTTCCCCTGATTTCTCTTGTCCTTTTTGCTACTGTCCTTAATTTTATGTACACTTTACACTCACTTCTTACCGTTGTACTGACGTAAAGAAGCAGGCAGACGGACTGATAAACACCATAAGGTGTCGAAAATTAAACAACTGCTGTGCTGCTAACTTGGACTTACTTCTACGAACTTTTTAGCTTGTACAAGATTCATCTCTGGAATAACTTGTTTGATCTCTTTAATAAGTTGGATTTTTTTTGCTGCATCAAATTTCACTAGCTTGACTGAAAATGCAGTTTTCGTAGGCGCTTGTTGTTCTTCAGGCTCTTCGGGAGGTTGGTTTGTTGGCGCTTGAACCATCATAGGCATCATGGGCCCGGTATTCTACATAGGCACAAAAGAAAAAGGGATGAAATGGTGTTGCCAAGACGACATTGAATACTTTGCAATTAAACCACCTAAGTCAGGGTACAGCACTAAAAGGAATGGAATAGTTTGAGCATAATTACTTACAGTATGAGTGCTTCATTAAGAAAAAATCGGATATGATCGAAGTGACTTTGATCGGAAAAAGTAAATAAAGTAGAACGAGCACAGCTCACTAGCAGTACACAAAAGTGTTAAATAGTGAAGCACTACATGGAGTATACTAATGTTACAACGCGAATCCTTGGATGGAGGTTAGGGTACACAACAGAATTGGGAGTTTGTGGTAACCTATAATGTTCAATTCTCAGCTAGATTGCTTAGATCAGTGGAAAACCCTTGAGTAAGGAATGGCTGAACAAGAAAAACTGCTGAAGTTTGAAGACTGAAAAGTCTAAGCCAAGAAACCAGAAATCTGAATGTGATTATGCTCAGGAACCTGTAAAAACCCTTCAGATATTTGGGAACTATTTGAGGAACTTACAGGTAACGATTGCATTAATGATGGCATCTAGCCAACTGTTTATGGTTTGAATAAGTCTTTTACGCGTCAAACATCTGATGTTTTGTCTTGTTTCTCCAATTTTGAGGGAAAGTAGCAAGTTTCATTGAAACTCATGTTCTAAGATTTCAATTAACCCTTCGCAATGTTCAGGACCTAGCGAAACCCTAAATCTTTTAAAATGTGTTTATATTCTCTCTCACCCATTTACGAGCACCTTTAAGGAATCGTCTTTTACTAATTTTGTACTTACGATGGGGATAATGAAAATAATCCCAATACCCAAGAACGTATCTGATGATAGAGATCCAAAGTTTAAAACCGTGATAATAAATTTACCTTTCCTCAGGACGATGGAGAAACTACTAATCACACTTTGGCTTGAACTGGATGAGCCTACCGACCCATATAAGTTTGTTTATACATGTGAAAGAAGTACCCTAGATACTGCTATAGGTTCTGCATTACACCATAGTGTTTAGCCTCGTAAAGGGTGGGAATTACATTCGATGTGCATTTCGAGACTACTGTCACTTTCAATTCTGTTTCAATACCACTAGCACGAAGCAAGGTCGCCAACGTTAAAACTGAGAACTCGATAACCAACTGGCTGCGTTCTTACTTCTCTGGAAGAGAACAGTATACTGTATTTGGAGGGAAATATTTTACTTCATTACTAGCTTAAGCGGGTGTACCATAAGGTACTGTTCTTTCCCCTCCTACTTTTCCCTCTATTCTGCGTGGTCTGCCACCCTCTGCAAAGGGCACTTCTGTTAGGTATGTGAACGATTTTTATGCATGTACACCGGTCTTTCCGTAGTAAACATTGTACGATGGTCTATTATTAATGCTCTCAAACTTAATACTTCGGAATGTCAAGTAGTTATTGTAACCTGAGTCATGAAAAGCACTCAAACACCCTTTTGGAATCGTATGAAATTTGTACTATCGAAGATTCTACGATAAACTATGCCAAATATCACTTGCCTTGGTGCAAGTTTGTCTTCCGATCTTCCTTGTTCTTAACACGTTTGATTAATGTCGAAGTTAGTTTTTCGTCTGACATACTGCATAACGAGGTCACATGTTCTTGGCACTACTCGGCACATTCACAAATCGTAAATTCTCATGTATTACTTATTATCCGTTAACACTCTCCCTTATTACTTCCTGAGCTTTCGAGAAAAGTTATGCTGTATTTCGGACAGCATTGAAACCAGCTAGTCATCTGCAACATACAGTCTGGGATATATATACAGCGGTTTAAGCACCAAACGAGTGTCTGCTATATGTACACGACACAATGTTATTTTTACCGTTACTTGTCTTAGATACAATAAGAACTATTTACGGATGACGTATGGAAAACTTTATAAAAGTAAACTAGTATAAACTATGCAAAACTAACATATCTTTGAAGGGAGCGTGTGTATAAGAGACGAAACAGAGTTAGTGCGTTTAATTTTTGGTATAACGAAAGATAAACAAAATACTACCGTGACTTTAACTAAATGGTTAAAAAATAACTACCGAACGATAATAAAACGAATAGTAATAGACAAACACGTCACCCCGTGGTGACGAGATTTGAGCTTACACCAAAGACATAGATGATTCCTTAAATAGCTGAGTCTTAAGATCAGAAATACTGGCAAGTAGGTCTTTAAAAAGCAAAAATGGCCGGAGCAGTATGCTTCATACAAGGACTTCAGATCATTGTGAAAGAATTATGTTACTTCGTTATTTGTTACTGCAAACTCACCTTGATGTTTAACTTTTTTTGTAACAGTTCTGACAAGTCTGCAACTTCTAATAATGTTAGGGAACTGATACGATTTACAATCTCATGTATGTGTTTTGGATACTCCTTATTATCAGCACTAAAGGAAGGAGGGACTAAATCCTTATCTGCTCCCAAATTTGTTGCCATTTGCGTATATGGTTTTGAAAGGACATTATAAAACGAACAATAAGAAACAGTCCTGCCAAGTTTAAATAGGTTCATGGCTGGAAATGTGTAAGTCATCACGAAATCCAGTTGGTGCGCTACCCGTGTTGTTTAACCTGCCCGCCCGGGATTCACATGGTTGTGGACGGAATAGAATAAGCTTTCGCTTAACAGGCTTCCGCGTCTAGTGGCAGGGGATCACCAAATCCTCCAGGCAGGAACCTAAGTATGCTAATAATAAAAGCGGAAAAGAAATTAGTAAGCTATAGTGTGGTACTATCCTTAGTCCTTAAGAATAGATCAAGTTGCCTCTTATAGGACTCCTGAGAAGTCGCTTGGACTAGCTCGGTCGATAACGAATTCCAGCATTTGACAACTGTTAAGGAGTAGAAGTTGTGTCTACAGTCCGTTTTGCTATGTTGTGTCTCCAGTTTTTGGGTGTTATCTCTTAGGTTAGTGTTGGAACTAAGCTTAAGTAGGTGTTTGAGAGGATGTCCAGAAGTGTTAAGGATACTATAAGCCATCAGAAGGTCACCTCTAAGACGTCTATACTCTAATGGGTAAGTAAATGGAGGCGCTCTTCGTAAGGTTTAAATTTGAGTCCTCGAACTGATTTCGTGCCTCGCCGTTGGATACGCTCCAGGTTTGCTCGGAAGGCATTTTTGTCACAGTTAGCGTAAGACTAAATCGTAGGGCACCAGGACTCCTATATCTTTTTCGACTTGGGATACTACTAGAGAGGAGTTTCCTAAGTTATAACTGTAGTCTGCGACATGTCGCAGATGGACTACTTTACACTTTGAAATGTTAAAGGTAAGTCCGTTATCGTTTGCCTAACTTTGAAGTCGAGTCAGATCCTCCTGAAGTGCCTTTATATCGTCTTGGTTGCGTATCTCTCTCCAAAGTTTCACATCATCAGCAAAAAGTAATAAGTCAGACGATGCCTGCTGTGGAGGATCGTTTATATAAATCCAAAGCGAAGAGGTCCTAGTACTGAGCTCTGGGAGACCCCACTAGGACATTCCATAACCTGAGATAAAGTGAAGTTAACTTCTACCTTATGAAGTGAGCCAGTCTGTTAGATGTGATTTCATACCGAGTCGTTTGGGCCTATTGATAAGACATATATATTTGACCCTATCAAAAGCATTTGAGAAGTCAAGGTTAGTGACATCAACCTTCTCCTTGCGATCAAGGATGGTTGTCAGTCTGTTCATCACACTCAGCATGTTGGTTATACAAGAGTGACCCTTCCAGAAACCATGCTGTTGGAGTGGAAAGAAGTTTAGGGATAATAAATAGTTGTGTATAACACCGCATTTCAGGGACTCCATAATTTTTGAAGGTATAAAGAGAAGAGCCATCGGTCAGTAACTTAAAGGTCCGCTGCGTCTTCCTCATTTGAAAATTGGTGCGATGTGAGCCAGCTTCCAAATTTCCGGTAGTTTTCCTCGGCTTAGCGAGTTTGAGAAACTTCACGCTAAGCGGTGTTGCCAGGATTGAAGCTGTTTCCCTAAGTATAGCAGAATGAACCATATTTGGGCCAGGAGAAGTGTCTTTTCTTTTCCGGAACACAAAGTCAGCACTCAGATTCACTTAGGAAAGTCCTGTACAGTTGCAGATGAAGCTGTCATCAGTATAGTTGATGTGGGTTGGTTGATATGTTAGATAGTATTGTTCATCCAAAAGGTTAGCGGCGTCGCCGTCCTTATTAGTCTGACCATTAAGACCCAGCAGTTGGGAAACTCCAGTCCTAGCTTGACGAAGAGAGGTTGCATAACGGAATAAGCTTTTCGGAGTGAAGATAAATTTATACATAAACTTTATCGGTTACAGAAGCCTGTCTTCTATTATAGCCTTCGTGCATATGTTCCTTATATATTTGTATTGCCTGTACGCGCCGTTGTTATCATTTAGTTTGTCCTTCGCCCAACAGTGCCGTAGAAAGCTATTTCCTACAGATTCAACTCTAAGCTAATCCCTAGACTGTCGAATACAGGGTCTTGGTTCAGCCAAAGTCAGAACAAGTAAGCAATTTGGCTCGATAAACTTTATTTTTTTCTAAAACGTAAATTGACACTGTTAGTGTACAAAACAAAAGTACAGTCTATAAACACAGGGAAAAACGGAGACATAAATAACGTACCAAACAGTAGCTAGAGAGTAGGTAAAATGAGCCAACAAGGCAAATATTGTTTTATAATAAACATCGAATTGCGGTTGGTGAATAAACAGGACACAGTCATACAAGGTCAAGAAAAGTTAGTGTATTGATGGGCGTTTCACTTTACCATTGGTGTGTTCGTTTATCGATCACATTTTACCGCGGCTTAGCAAACGTACAGTAAGGTTCTTGATGACTGAAGGTTGCTTGTATATTATGGGTATTATTTGCGGAACAGACTGCCTTGTAACTCATGAGAGCGTGTGGAGTTAAAAATCTCAATGAGCACACACATCAAGTTGAATGTGATCATCCGAATCCACTTGTATTAGTTGGCCCGATGAGCCTGACACATTCAACCGTTTGAAATTCCGGCGTCTGTTGTTGATGGGACATCTTAGCTAAGTTTTACTGACATAACTCAAGGCTATGGCGGCGTGACCGCTTTTCGCCAAGGAAGTCAGGATTGAAAGGTTGTCAACTAGAAATTCTTCGTTTGTAAATACATGAATTAGGCGCGACGACGCCTGAATGTTTCTCCGAGTTTCCGAGTTCACACTTTCGAATAATCCCAGATCCTCAATAAGGTCGAAGAACCGATATTCAATTGAGTTTTCACCTCCATTATACATATGTTCCGCGGAATTGACTTTAAGAAGATTGAAGTCCCTTAGAATCAGAATATGAGTGAATCGGAGACGAGTAGAGCAGGAAAATCCTTCCAGCATACGATTGTCGTACTCGATTTCAGCAGTGTGCTTCCTGTAAATGACCCTAACTAGACACCTCGAAGTGTTAGACAATCTTACTGAGCAACATACGAATTCGTCAAGATTGATCAACTCTTGGTTGTGCACTTGATGTACCTATAGACAGGATTGTAAGTATAAGGCTACTCTACCCCCAATTCCTGTTTTTCTGTCATTGCAAAACAAAGACATCTCAGGTATCGCTAGCTCCTGGTCCGTAAGCTGAGATATCCAAGTTTCAGATATTCCTATCAGATAGGCCTTATTAGCATTGCTAAGTTCACATAGCTCATCCATTTTATTTGGCAGACTCGTGGCGTTCGTGTAGAAGCAGTTTATGCTTTCAACTAGACACGCATGAGCTTCTCCTTCCTGTTTGTCTGTATGAGCCTTATGTGAATGGACAGATAACCTACTTACACCAGCTTTTCCGACTTGATAGCCTTTGTCCTTCACATATTTTTTTATGATCAAGCCATTCCACAAGTGGAATGGTCAGCTCCAACTTGCCTTTGTGTTTGATCCTGGTGTTATGTGGTCTATCCGGGTGCATATGGATTCCATTTGGCAACCGACGTCTGTTGGCACGAAATGCTGGGAAAGATACCTTAATTAGTCGGGGTCTAGCATCTCCGTCTCTCTTAGCTAGTCTCGTCATTTGTTGAGTCAGTATGTGTTTGAGCTTCAAGAATTGCTTGATGAATTTCCATTCCCTAATATCAGAGTTTTTGTGACCAGGGTCCGTGTTTTCCGGTACACCTTGCACAATGATATTTCTTCCACGTAAAAACGTCTCGCGAGATTACTTAGGGATGCTCTTGATGAGATCGCACTCAGAATACGGTATATCAAGCAGTATTCTTACTTTCCCATCAGATTTCAGTGAGTAACTTGCTAGTAGGATATCATCTACGTCGGTAGCATTCTTGTGTGTTACACGAAGTAGCCTCGGATGATTTTGATGCTTAGATTCCTTTCCCCAAGTGAGCTGTGTGACTGTCAAAGGCTCCATTCTGGGAATTCCAAGCATCTTGTCTAACTCTCCCCAGAGCATCCTGTCATTTTCTCCTGCGGACTAAGGGGAAGATCAGAGATGCGCGCTTCCGATTCCTAGGCTCTTTGATGACCAGACGGACATTCTTGGAGGTAGACTCTGCGGTCAAATAACCATTTGTTTTCCCTACAATTCTTGGGATGTTCAGCTTCTTAGACAGTGACACCTGGTCCTTTTTAACTTTGATATTGGGCGTCCAATCGCCTACAGAGGTTTGGGGACCACCGTTTCGTTCAGGGACCCTGTGCTGGGAGACTCTAATCTACTGAAAGGTTCTGTAACCGTGGACGTTATGATGGTGTTGAGTCTAACCACTTCATCACCAGTGCTATTGCATGCTCCATCGATATTAGATCTGTCGGCATCCTTCTTCTTGTTTCCATTGCGCGTCCGTTTTTGTCTGCCCGTTTCATGACTGTCTTTTTACAAGCTTGCTGATAACTTGTTCCCCAGACGTGCCAATAAGACAATGAGGTTACTGAGCAAAACTTAGGCATCTGTGTTGTACATGACACATACCCACCTATGATCCGATTTACTGAGTCTGTTGTTCTCAGTTACTGTGAGATCTGTGCACGTTTCATAGAACCAACCTATACAGTTGTCGCACTGCATACCAGATATAACAGCAGAACGGCATCCAGGTCGTTAGTATGAATTTTTCATAACTATGTTGACGTAAACTGTTTTATATATGCTAGCGAAATCCAAAAACAGCTAAAAACAGTACACTAAAAACGGGCAAAAATGAATAAAAACGGGTTATGGTCAACTGGAACTAGCCTATACGGGAAAAACTGGAAACAAACAGAAAAGTAAGCTGAGGCAAAAACACAGTTAACTTTAAGTTGGATGAAACTCAAAAAGGTAATTTAAGAAACGTATAGCTCAGAATATATTCTCTAGGTCACAAATGGTACTTTTGTTGCATGATTACACAGAAAAAGTTTGAGAAACGCAAATCACGTTAGCACTAAAATTCGTTTTCGAAAAGCGAACGAAGCGAAGTTCAGTGTGGTGGGGATAGAATCAGTAGACAATCTAAGGTGATGATTATTACAGTCTTATGTAGGAAGGATAGTGGGTTGGTGGACCTGTGTTAACCTTGACAGTTTGCCTTCAAGTGAATGTCCAGCTTCTCCTTAAAAATGTTCACTGAT